ACTGTTTAATCAAAAGAAGCGAATATAATAAAATCGTGGAAGATATTAAGAAAGGAACAAACTTTTTTTAATGGGTTTTGAAATTCTGATTACTGCTTACAAAGAGAATACATGGAGGAGGAGACAGAGCTTGAAGATAAAACAAAAAGAAACTTTTGATCAAGAGGAAGGAGGAAAACGTGGGAAAATGACATGGCTAACTATCACAGTGGTCACCGCAACGAAGATCTCCATTACGATTTTTTTAAAGAATTTTGTCAAACACTGAACCTTTTTTTTTTTTGGGTTAAATAAACAGACACTGAAACTTATCAAGTGAACCCTCCTTTTTTACCAAACCCAATAACAATGGAAGGAGATATATACAAAATTGGTGTTGTGAGTAATTAGTGTTAGTGTTGAACTTTTAATAGAACAACCAAGGCACGACGAATGGAATGAGATGATGAATGAAAGAAAATTCATTAGAAAATGAGGAAAAAACAAAGTGTATTGGGCAAAGACACATTAATGAATGGGACTTTGTGTGGAATCTCCACCGAAATTGGACCATACCTTATCAACCCACTCTCATTAGTGATCCACTCTTGAGAATTAACAAATAATTTGACAAAGAATTTCTAGCAAGTGCACTATATAGCCAAAACGTAAGTGACAGGAAAATCTCTGTTCTTTTCCTTGTGCCTTGGTTTCATTGTTTCACATCCCATTCCTTATACGAATTCGACGGGACTTATTTAGTGATATTTATGGACCGGAAATTTCTACGAGGCGCAAAAACAACACGAAATCAAGTATGGCAAACGTCGAACGACACATTCAGTTTCAAAAACCAAAACTATATCTGATCAATCCATACTACAAAATTTGGTATCACAAAGCTTTGAATACCTGCAAGTTTAATTTATGACGAGTTAAACTATTCTTTGAAATCAGCATTTGGTGTCCTCTTGAGGAATGGTGAATGTCCATCCTGGAAAATCTGACTCCTCAAACACAGATGTTGGAACCGTTGTGTAGAACGCTAAAGGAACTTGCTTTACTCTTCTTCGAATCTGCCAAATTTTAAGACCTCCACAGTTAGTTTGTCTGATGGTATTGGTTTTGCACGATCTATCTTTACAAGGAGTTTTATCATATAACATTACCTCGTCCCCGAATATAGTGGCATATGAACCAGAGCTGAAATCTTCTATTTTCATTTCAGTGGTCTTTGCTCTGATGGTTAGATCAGTTTCTAGCGACGAAACAAACCTACACAACAAAAGAGAGATATCAAGGAGATGACCCAATTTTATAACTTTTTAAAAAGAACGGATATCATTGTTTGGTGAGTAAATATACCTTGAAACTGGTGGGCAGTAATGGTGACGCAAAGAGTCGATCTCCCAAAGGGAACTTTCTGTAACAATTAGTTTTGGGATTATAAAAAAAAAAAAAGAATATCATCAGTTGATTATAGAAGGCTCCTACAAAATGACTAAACAAGAAACCAACTCACAGAAACCAACAAACACCAAGTTTTTGAGCTTTTAAAATGATCAGAGCTTTACTATATGTATGAATCTATAGAAACCAGGCACTCTTATCAAACTTAGATATCTTATCTCGTTATGCTACAAACCTACCATCCAAAAAGTAAAAATCTATAAAATCTGAAAGCATACCCATCGTAAATTTTCCGTTGGATGAATAATGCTTTCCACATTCCAGTTAAAACTATGTGCTAAAGACGTGGGATATAAATAATAAGACTGGGAGTGTCAAAACTTACTCATGGCACCGGATTTCTTAGGATTACTTTCCAGGTTGTTGAAATAGTCAATACCAAGCTTTTTGCGGCTCTTTGGTTGGCTCTCATTGTGTTCATTAACTCCATTGGCGTCTTCATCGGTTTCCTGTACAAGAGTGACCTCATTTATAAGTCCTTGCTTTTTATACATTTTTTTGTTCAGTCGTGAGAATATCACACAAAGCAAGTCATCTTCCACTCTGGTAACATGTCTGCATTTTCAAGCACTAACAAAAATAGGTCGTACCCGGTGCACAAGATGGTTGATTGAAGGATGTCTTCGCAAAAGGTTGTAGATCAAAGCTGTAATGACCAACGATCCCGAGGGAGGAACAGAAAGTGACAATCTGCTTAGTTTCTTTGTGAATGAAGCTGCCAGATATGCTGGAAGCAATGATGACTTCAGGCAAGCATCTAGAAGCTGCAGAACGAGTTTCAGATATAAAGGGGAAGATAACAGATTATAATCAGTAATACATTCCTCACTCAAAATCGGCAATACCTGAAGAAATCTTGCTCGGTGTTTTGCCACAAAGACGGAAGGAACCAGTAACGCATAGAGTTTTTCATAAAAGTTGGGATATTCTAAACCATGTTGGGTCATGAGGATGAAGAGGCTGCTAAGAGCCATCACACTGACAACTCCCCCAATGTCATATGATTTTGTTAAGAAATCGCTGCAAGTATTCAGGTATGGTGAAACATGTATAAGTGATTATCAGGACAAGACAGATACAAAACGATAGAAGCTTTGGTAAATATCCCCACCATAGCATTGCAGGATTAGATAGATGGGGGATGACTGTCAGGTGAATACTAGCAAGAACCTGATCATCAAAAGATGGCATATTGGTAAATTTCCGTTCATGTCATATTCCAAAAAAAGGGGTTAGTTGTAAGTAAATTGGCTTACCTCCTTGTAAACGTCAAGTGGAAGAGGTAGTCTGAGAAATGAAATCCAAGCTTTAGTGAATTTCAACTTCATCCTCTTGGCAATTGTAGTCGGAGAAAGAAGCTAGAGTTTTGACAGAATAAATAAAGAAGCAAAAGTAAGCAACTACATGCTAGGAAGAAAATGATTCACGGATTCAGTATATTAGAAAATCTGCAACTGAAAACTCACACTGCTGTCTTGTTCCTTGTGCTTTTTCGTCTTTTCTGTCGGTTTCTCACTACTGCTTCCATCTGGAAATACCAATAACCTCTATTAGCAAATCCAAACACAGATGGGATCCTTTCAACGAAATTGGAAAACAAATAGCCAAGTGCTCAGAAATAGTCACCTGAACAACTCCACATCTCGTGGTGGGAGTTTTTAGCTTGTTTTTCAGGTGATGGAAGTCGAGATAAAACTTGATAGATTTTGTGAACAGAGAGTTCTAGGCTACAATTCACAATTTTCCCAGATCATCAACAACAACAAAAAACGCATAAAAAAATTACACTCAAACATTCTGGAAATATGCAATGAAAGCATCAAATATATATATCGGGCTTACCTTTCTTTCGAATCACTCTCAACCTCAGTAGCTTCAATCACAGTTCTATTAGCTATAAAGGCCAAAACCAAATCGGTTAAAACACACAAAACAAATAAAAAGAGATGATGTCAAGAAAGAAAGCACAATCAAGCGCACCAGACACGAATGATGCTTCCAGTGTTTTCACAAACTTTTCCATGCTGATGTAGGTAAAATAGCTGACATATATCGATATTCAGAGTCAATCGCATATAAACCAGAAGAAAGAAAATGGTGAATACAAACAATAAACAAAGGTTTATTGACATACCGGACATCAATATACTTGAAATACTTTGAGGCAAGTATATCCAAGAATATATCGATATCAACTGCAGAGTGAATCTGCAGAGAGACAGAGATATGCGAAAGCATTAAGCACTGCAAATAACAAGAGCAACAAAATGAACAAGCCTGAGGAAACTTACAATAGCATTAAGCAATCTGTGGTAGATGGAAGAGTGAAATCTTCCCACATTCAAAAGCTTCACAAACTCCATTAACGTTCCCAAAACAATATCCTAAATTCATCGAAACCCATTAGAAACCAAACGAAATCATAACAACAATGCTATGAACACAGAGAAGATAGAAAGTTACCCTAAGAGTATCTTCGGACCGTTCAGAGACGAGAACATCGAGTAGAAGCTTCACGAACTCATCAAAGTTTGATCTAAGCCAAGCTTTGAAGATAACTTCAGGGTCATCAGCTTCAGTTATCTTAGTCTTCGACGTTTCATCATCGTCGTCTTCGGAGCGAGGGCGTTTCGTTGAAGAAGGATGCGAAGAAGTCGAGGGAAGCTGT